TCTGCAGCTCCCATATTGAAGTATAAGAGAGATGTGTTTATGTAGTCCTGGATCCTGGTGGTGCTTGGAGGACCACATGTAGTGTTGGTGATTGAACCCTGGACTCCAGCATGTGAAACGTGCTCTAGCCCTTAGAGATACTTTTTTGGGGGGGAGAGCAGACCCAGTGATGATGCTCAGGGGTTACTTCTGGCTCTGCACTCAGGAATTATTCCTGGCGGTGCTCAGGGGACCATATGGGGTGCTGGGTATCGAACCCGGGTTCACTGCGTGCAAGGCAAATGCCCTACTCACTATGCTATTGCTCCACCCCCAAGAGATACTTTTTAAAAAATTAATTTGTTTTTGTTTTTGTGCCTCAGCTGGTAGTGCTCAAGGCTAACTCCTGGCTCTGTGCTCAGGGATCACTCCTTGTGGTGCTCAGGGGACCATATGGGGTATGGGGGATCAAACCTGGGTGTACCGTCTGCAGGGAAAATGCCCTGTCTCCTGTACTATCTCTCTGGCCTCTAAAAAAAAACATTTTTTTTAAACTCTTCTTTTCTTTCCTTCTGTAATGGCCAGAGGTCACACACTCTAGTTTCATGCTTATATCCTTGGTGTGGTTCAGTCTTGAATGATGTGGTGTTAGGAGTCTGCCAGGATCACACCTGGTTATGCTTGGACCTTACATAGTCTTTTAATTAAATTGTATCTGTAAAACCTTTCTTTTAGAAGGAATGTAAAGAACAGAAATGCATAGTAGAGTACAGTCTAATAAGATAGCAGTGCAGTCCTATTATTGGAAATATTTTGAAAACTTTGAGAGACGAGTAGTTTTTGGACTTTAACTTAGAAATTGTGTTCTCTTTATTTGTGTCTTGATATATTGTCGGTTGCTTTCATTCCTTTTGATAGAGTCTTTGGCTCTCACTCCACAGAAGGAGACTAGTGGTGTCTTTCTGCTTTCTTCTCTTCCCCTCTGCTAAGAGAGCCAAGAAATTAGCTACCATCATATATGCTTAATTCTATGAACTGTCACATTGACATCCCACAAGTTGATGTGATGTCTGCTGGATTTAGTAAACAAAGAGTGATTTTTTTTTTTAAAGGGGAGCATCTAATCCAGCAGTGCTCAGGATTTACTCAGGGCTTTGAGCTCAGAGATCATTCCTGACAGGGCTCAGGAAACTATATGGGAGGCTGGGGATCGAACCTGGGTCCACCATGTGCAAGACAAGTGCCTTTAGCACTGTACTATCTCTCTAGCTCAAAGAGTATAGTTTAAGAGAAAGAATATCCTGATTTCACATCAGAAGTTACAGAACCTGGGAGTCTCAGACCTACCTCTAGAAGTATTCTTTTCATGAAGTTCCCTTTCAGATAAATTGCAGTCGGGGAGCTGGAGAGATATACAGTGGGTAAGGTGCTTGCTTTGCACATTCCTGATCTGGGTTTGATTCCCAGCATTCAGTGTGGTCCCTCGAGTACTGCCAGGAGTGATTCCTGAATGCATATTGGTGGGTGTGACCCAGAAACTAAAAACATAAAATAAATTGCAGTTGGTGTATATTAGATGGAGAGGAACCATTTTCCCTCCTTTTATGATATGCTGGGAATCGTGCAAGGCAAATGCCCTATTTTACCTATTTGTTTGAACTATTTGTTTTCTCTTCCTTTATCTTATGTCAGATGATTTCAATAGGAAAAGCAGTTTTCATTTGACTGGAACTAGGTTTTCTGGGTCTAGTTTCTGGGAAATTAACAACTTAGTTCTAGGAAAATGTGCTAGATGTTTAGTTGGAATATAATCAGTATTTACTGGATGGATGAAAGATAGGTCTGACAGTTTCTTCCTTTTTGTTTTTGTTTGGGGACCACACCTGGTGATTCTCAGGGGTTATTCCTGGCTCTGTACTCAGGATCACTCTTGGTGCTGGGGGACCATATGGGATGCTGGGGATTGTGCAAGGTAAATGCCCTGCCTGTTGTACTATTGCTCCAGCCCTGACAGTTCCTTTTGAGCCTTTTGGTTGGTGAGAAATGCCTGGATCCCCAAAGGGGTACAATATAAACTTGGAACCACTGATTGAACAAGCTGTCCCTTATCCATCATAATTTAAGTACTAGTAGGACATCAAGGACACAAAAAATGGGGCCTAGAATCTGGAGTTACAGCATTGTAGAGACCTAAAGCACCAGTGATTCCAAGGGCTATGATTCTAGTTAATTGAACATTGAAATTGCAAATTTAAAATGAAAATGGGATATGTAAAAGCTAATTCCCACAAATAAGGATCACCAATTTATCCACATTAAATGAAGTGAATATTAAAGTGGACTTTTAATGATTTAGTCAGGAATCACGCTTACTTAGCTATATAGAATGTTTTAAATTAACATTGCTGTGAGAACTGTAGTTTGCTTCTCCTAACAGCTTGGAAACCAGGCTGCAAAGTATGTTTTTGTTTGTTTCAGGGTCACACCTGGCTATGCTCAGGGTCTAATCCAGGCTTGATACTTAATGACCATGCTGTGCAGGGATCCAACCCAGGCCTCCTGTGTGCAGAGCATGCCTTCCAATTCTCTGTGCTATGTCTTCCCAACCCCTGCAAAGTATTTTTTTAGCAACCTTATTTAGATATAACTCATGTGTTGTACAATTCACTGTTTTTGATTATATTCACAATGTTTTGTAACTATAACCACAGTCTGATTTTTGACCTCCTGAATAAAGAAATTCCATATGCATTAGTCACATTCCCTATGTCCATCTGTCTCTCCTCCCACTCCTTCCCATTAGTCTGCTTTCTAGTCTATATAATTGCTTGTTCTGGTCGTTTTATGTAAATGTAATAATAGAATATATGACCTTTTGTGACTGACTTTCGCATATTTTCACAATACATCTGCATTATAGTATGTATTAGAATTTCCCTCCTGGGGCCAGAGAGCTAGTACAATGGGTAGGCCTTTGCCTTGCATGCAGCTGGCCTGGGTTTGATCCCTGAAACTACTGAGCCTTACTAGGATTAGGGTCTCAGAGTATGGAGTAAGCCCTGAGTACAGTTGAATTCCTTCCCAGCCCTCTAGAAAAGATATGATACCAACATAGAATATATATTGCCTGACAGACTGTTGATCTATTTGTAGCTGTAGATCAGTAGCTCCCTTCTAGTGATAAGGGTAATCAAGTGATAGTACATGTAGTGTGTGTGTGTGTGTGTGTGTGTGTGTGTGTGTGTGTAGATAGAGACAGGATTTATTCAGATGTATAGTTTCATATCTAAGATATATGTGTTTATGTATATATTTTTAAAAGTAGGGGTTGTGGGGTTGGAGAGATAGTATAGCAAATAAGTTATTTACCTTGCATGCAACTGATCTGGGTTCTATCCCCAGAACTAGCCTTGCTACGAGTAATCCCAAGCGCAAAGCCAGCAGTGAGCCTTGAACATTGCCAAGTGTGGCCCAAAAAAGGAAAAAAGAAAATAGAAGTCACAGCCAGTGGTGCTGGAGGCCTGGAGTCATTTCCTGCAGTCCTGTAATGCTTTGCTTGGTGGGCCTGAGGGCTTGATTCTGGGCTCTAACTATGCTGCCAGGGGCCACCAGAATGGTACTCCATGGTGCTTGTAGGGTTGGTCTCCATGTGGTTGGTATTGGTGATTGAGCTCTGCTCCTGGGCATGTGTTCTACCATGTGACTGTTTCCCTCAACACTCATATCTAACATGGTTTTTTAAAAGTTTTTTTTAAGTTTAAAAAAAGCCTAGTATTGTATTGGGGAGGGGCACCCTCTCCCCTGCAGTGTTCAAGCCTGACCTCTGGCTCTGTGGTCAGGAATAACTCCTGGCAGTGCTCAGGGCAGCATGTGAGGTGCTGAAGATCTAAATGAGGTCAGCCAAATGCAAAGCAAGCGCCTTAACCTCTATAATTTCTCCTGGTTCCCCCCCCCTTTTTTTTTTTAACTTGGGTCACACCCAGTGATGCTCAGGGGTTGCTCTTGACTCTGCACTCAGGAATTATTTCTGGTAGTGCTTGGGAGACCATATGAAATGCTGGGGATCAAACCCTGGTCAGCCGTGTGCAAGGAGAACACCATATCCACTGTATTATCACTCTGACCCTCTCTGGTCGCATCTCTAGTCCCCTTAGTATGCTTTCTGTCTCACGAAAGAACAGCTGTCTTGGGACCAGAGTGATAGTACAGCAGTAAGGCATTTGCCTTACATACATCAGACTCAGGTTTAATTCCTGGCATCCCATCTGGTTCTTCAAGCACCGCCAGGAGTGATTCCTGAGTGGAGAGTCTGGAGTAACCTCTGAGCACTGTCTGGTATGGCTCAAAAACAAAAAAAAAAAAAATTTTTTTTTAAAAGAGAGAAAGAAGGGGCTGGAGCAATAGTACAGCAGGTAGGGCATTTGCCTTGCACGTGGCCAACCCGGGTTCGATTCCCAGCATCCCATATGATCCCCCATGCACCGCCAGGAGTAATTCCTGAGTGCAGAGCCAGGAGTAACCCCTGTGTATCTCCGGGTATGACCCAAAAGTCTAAAAAAAAAAAAAAAAAAGAAAGAAAAGGTTGAGTTTCTCAAAATTGTTGAGTTTCTCATTATTATTTCTTTAAATTTTTTTTTGTTAAAAACACCACGATTTACAAAGTTGTTCATTAAACTGTTGTTTCAAGCATTCAGTGTTCACACCATCAGTGTGACCTTGCCTCCATCAATTTACCTATTTTTCTCCAATCCCCAGCCTACCTACTTAGACAAAAAACAAAGTTATTTTATATTACTCATTCCAACAAAACTTTAAGAAATGGCAAATAGAATGAAGAGAAAATAAATCAGCAAGAGCCAATTTGTAATTACTATGTGATTTTAACCTATGTAAACAAGGAAAATAAAACCCTTTAATACAGTTTACATAAGTTTACATAAGTTTACATAAGTTTTCAACTCTGGAATCTAAAGTAATCAATATTGTTTCTTATACCAGTTTGTCTTTCTCTCTTTTCACAGACGCTGCATTCAGGTAGTGCATAAACTGCTTTGCTATCAGAAGAAGTGTAGAGTACGCCTGCATTACACCTGGCGGGAACTCTGGTCAGGTAACTTTCTTTTGAATTCAGCTTCTCTTGTCTTACATCTTATTTTTTTTTTTTTTGCTTTTATTATCTTTTTTCTCTCTTTTTTTAAAATTATTTTATAAGGTGGTTCACAATATTTGATTACAGTTAATATTCAAACACTAATCCCACCACCATTACACCTTCCCACTACCCAACTTGGGATGTTTCCATCCTGAGCCCCAATCCCTGTCCCAAAGCACAACTGAAATAATATTGTTTTGTATTGTCTGTTATGGGAAACCGTTTTATGATGTGTTGTGCAGCCTCATGTGGCCGCGCAGTCCAGCAATACGTTTACACGTACATGAGGCCAGGATTATGTTCACTCGTACGTGAGCATGTGGGGAACAGCCTTGAGCCTGGTGGCGGTTGTGTTCTGGAAGTTTTTGGCTGCTGGGGCTGGGTTCCTCCCTTATGGGGAGCCCTGAGTTATCTTTAATGAAAATCCATAGGCCTGGGTGCAGGATGATTTTATATGTTTGTTTTCAGGCCACTCAGCAGTTCTCAGGGGCTACTCCCAGAATAGTGCTCAGGTGACTAGCATTAAAACTAGGGATTGAACTCAGGCCTCCCACATGAAAAGTGTGTGTTATAACCCTTTAAGCTATCTTCTTAGCCCCTGAAAAATTGGGGGGGGGGGTCTTTTGATCACACCCAATTTCTGCTCACCAGGTCTTCCTGACCTTGTGCTTAGGAGTGACTCTTGACAGTGGTCAGGGAATCAAATGTGATGCAGGGCATCTTACAAGATTTGGCTGCAGTGGCTTTATACAAGGATAGTTCCTTACCTCCTGTACTGTGTCTCTGGCTCTGAGTTTTTGTTTCTTGTTGTTTTTCTTAACTCATTAGTTTGTCTTGAATGCTTCTGTTTTCAATAGCACAGCGGGTAGGGCATTTGCCTTGCACATGATGGACCTGGCTGACCCAGGTTCGATTCCTCTGCTCCTCTCGGAGAGCCCAGCAAGCTACCAAGAGTATCTTGCCCACACAGCAAAGCCTGGCAAGTTACCCGTGGCGTATTCGATATGCCAAAAACAGTAACTACAAGTCTCACAATGGAGACGTTACTGGGCCCGCTCAGGCAAATCTATGAACAACGGGAGGACAGTGCTACAGTGCTATCTTTTATTTGAAGTGGAGGGACAGGGGTGGCCATACTTTGTGATGCGCGGGGGTTACTCCTGGTTCTGTACTTAGAAATTACTTCTGGTGGTGCACAGGGGACCATACGGAATCTAGGAGTGTAACTGGGTCAGCTGACTGCAAGGCAAGCCTCCTACCTGCGGTATGCTCTGTGGTTCCGCTTTGATACTTCTGCTTTGTTCTAATGCAGACCTGGGCTGATCACATACTCACTCCATACCTCCTTTCTTCTCTCATTCCCTCTATTTATTTTGTAGTTGATGAGTTCCAGTGATTCTTCCTTTCAGTAAGATTGAGGTAGGAGGGGCCATTACAAATTTGGATTCTCCCTCTGTTCCATTTGGTAGCAGCATATGGGCTATAGGGGGAGGCTTCTTTGTGTTTCCTCAAAGTGAGTAATCACAGGGGGAATGTCACAAGGAGGGGGTAGGGAGGGCAGGAGAGATGGGGGAATCCTGTTCTGTGTATTACATCTGGCATTATTACTGTTTACAGACATTGTCAATTGTACCACTCCCCCTGTGCCAGAGACAAAAACAGAAAATTACAGTGTTTACTTTTGTCTTTAGATCCATTTGGTTGCCCAGTAAAGTCTCTGCCACCCCTGCAGGCGGGAAGTGGCTCTTCTCTAAGGGTGCAATCAATGCCTGCTCCCCACCCCTTTCTTTTGTGCAACTAATTGGAGGTTTCAGGAAAGTGAGGAGATATGTTCCCTGAGGCATTTGCTTTCTGATAGGTCCTGTGGCTTTTGTGGCCTTGTGGTACAATAAAGTCTTCTCCAGATGATTATAGTGATGAATGGCTACCCCACCCATGAGAGTGCTCTCTGTATTTGCAGCAGGAGGAGGGTGTGTTAGTGTCAGAGACTGTATAAGAAACAGGCCAGTAACTCAGCCCCCTTCCATGGATTCATCTCACTTGTTGTGACACATGGGTTCCTCCCAACCCAATTTGGTTTTCTAAATTTAGTCCTCCATAATGGGAAGCAGAGATCTTTAATTAATGGATTAGCAAGTTCTTTGCAGTTACTGCCTTTGGTGAGTAGGAGAACACTAAATGGCAGTAGTGGCATTTGGTATTTTAGGAGACAAGAGTCTGATTTTTGTGAGAGTTTGAGATTGAGAAACTGTCAAGAGAACTAGAGATCTAAAAATAACTGAAATGACTGCAATTAGTAGAATTTCTTAGGTAGGAATAATTCTTTTTAACATAAAGGACTATTGTTGTCTGGATAGTTATATTATAATTAAACTCTAATAGCCTCAAATTAAAAGAAGACACAAAAATGATGCAAATCTGTGGATGTGGGTACAATTATAAGACTGAAAACAAATACAAAATGGTTCCTGCCTGAAATTGGGATGAAGTGATACATGATAGTACTGGTAGTAGTTATTTTTGCCTGCTTTTGTTTTTGCTTTGTTTCTTTTTGGAGTGGGGTGGTTTGGGCCACCCTGTGGTGTTTACTTCTGGCTCTACACTCAGAAATCACTTCTGGCGGCTCCTGGGAGACCAGATGGGATGTTGAGAATCAAACCCCAGTGCAAGTGAAGTGCCCTACCTGCTGTCTTACCTCTCCTCTGGCCCTGCTTTTGATTCTCATTTTATTCTCTCCTTCCCTTCCTCCCTCCCATGGTCAGTGGTGCTCAGGGCTAACTCCTGGCTTTGTGCTTGGGGATTGATCACTCCTGGAAGGGCTCAAGGACCATAAAGGGTTTAACCCAGGTCAGCTGTGTGCATAGCAAGTGCCCTTCCTGTGTGTTTTCTCTTCAGCCCCTTGACCTCATTTTCATATGCACTCTCCCTCTTGTCCTTTGTGCTGTTGATGTCATACATTTTCTTGCTATAGAGCTCAAGACACACCGCCAGCATTTTTTATTTAAAAATAGTATTTTTAAAAATCCTGCCTATTTTAAAAAGATTTTAAAATAACTTTTTGTCTTGTTTAGCTCTTCACATTTCCTAGTCCTGCTAGGAAATTGAGAGGCAGGATACCTATTCTTTAGGTCTGTTTGTAATTATGTTTTATTTCAAGACTGATAGGCATTCTGATAGCCTCGATATGTTGACAGGATGTGTATTTGAGTGTCCTTAGTGAGATCTGGATGATTGCTTGTTCCTAAGTCATAGACTTTTCTATTAGAGTTCTCAGTCAAATGTGGTTAGCTCCTTTTTCTGTATAGACTCAGTGAGCCTTTCTGGAACCCTGGCTCCATGTGTTCATACATGGAATGTACAGTGAGATACAGAGCAGCAGGTGCTAAGGAAAGCTGCAAAATACTATGCTATATCTGATGCATCTGAGCCCATCGTAATGTATAATACTGCAATCAGTGAATATAAATGTGGTTGTGGTAGATCCACCCACTCTTTGGCTGGTACTACCCGTCATATGTTGGTATGCCCATGTTTTACTTTTTCTTTGCCTTCTACACTTAAGGATTTGAAGGAGGTGTGTGACATTCACCATTCTTATCTGTGTAGAGGCTTAACTGTACATATGCCCAACCTTAGTTAAAATTTATTTATGGATGAGATTGACAAGGCACGTGTTGTTGAATTGGGTGTCTAAGATGCAGTTGACTTTCAGATGCCTTTGTCCTTTGGAATGTGGATGTTAAGTATCACAAATACCACCACACTTGGGGTGGTTTTCTTCATGTTACACGACTACAGTAATCTTTGTTAAGGGGAAGGTAGATAGTGATAATGCCACAAATTCCTATATGGACTTTTAAAATACAGTTTCTGGGCTTCTTCTGGTGGTGCTCAGGGCTTAATCCTGGCTCTGTTCTCAGGGGTCACTTCTGGTGGTGCAGGACCATATGCAATGCCCAGGATTGAACCAGAATGGACTCATACAAAGGAAGCACCCTTAACTCCTCTACTATCTCTCTGGCCCACAATATATTCCTGTCTGGAATTCCAAGACTTTTCTTCATGCCAAGAAAAGTAGTCTGTATTAGTTGGGAGATTAATCTGCTAGACAGACTTTTCCTTCCTAATAGTTCTGCAAATATGAGCCCTGACCTACTCTGCTTCTACTCTCTATTTATACAAGGCCTGTCACCATGGTATCTGAGGAAATGAAGAATACATTTAGGCTGACTTCAACTAGAATATGGAAATGAAATTCCTTCAAGAGAGCACTCACTATTTTTGTTTGTTTTGTTTTGGACACACTGGCAAGTTCTTAGCAGCACCTCCCAGTTCTGTGTGTGGGGTCATTTTGGTGGTCCTCAGAGGATCATGTATGCCAGGAATTGACCCCAGGGCGTACTGAGCATGTACTCAGCCCTTTGAGTTGTCTCACTGCCCCAACTTTTTGAAGTTCTCTGACTTCTAGGCTACCCCGATCTCTACTTTTTGAATTTAAGATTAGATTGTTTTGTTCATTTTGGGGCCATACCTGGTGATGTTCAGAGATTACTTCTGGCTCTATGCTTAGGGGTCTCTCCTGGCAGGGCTTGACGATCTATGGAGGGTGCCAGATATTGAACTTGGGTCATCTATGTGCAGGGCAAGCATCTTACTATTGTACTCTCTCCAGAAAATTTTAATTGTTTTAATTCTAGTACACTATTTGACTTACACTAAAACTTTTCAGAAAACATTTGAATGGATAATTAATGGAAGAATGATAGGTAGAATTTCTATTGATTATAAATCAGTGTTCTCTTTTAGTAGTACAGTGTGGTCTAAGGGCCTCAAAACAACAGCAGGTAGCATGTTTCCAAGATTTATTGCTGGTAGTGGCCATGGGATCTCCAGCTACATGCTAGAGCAGCGTGGAGAGACTTTTGCATTTTAGTACTAGTCCCTGCGACTGCCATGTGCCTTTTTTTTTTTAAATAAACTTCTGGACTTGCACTGGAAGTCTTGGTTCTTTGTTGTTTTCTGTTTTGCTTTGGAGCCACGGGGGCTGGGGGGAGTGCTCAGGGTTTACTCCTGGCTCTCTGCTCAGGAATCTCTCTTGGCGGGCTTGGGGCACCAGGTGGGATGGCAGGGATCAAATCTGGGTTGGCCGAATACAAGGGAAGTGCCTTACCCACTGTACTATCCCTCTGACTCCTAAAGTTTTGGCTCTTGAATTCAGGGTTAACATATAGGCAGGTGTATTGAACCTGTTTTTAAGAGGTTACTAAACTGTTTTTAACCTTTCACACATTTTTTTCCTCTAGGTTTCCATCAAGGTTTCTGGTAACCACTGACACTAAATCTGAATATGACAACTTGTTGCCAGAGCTGTTCCCTTTTTTTTGGGGGGGTCACACCCAGTGATACTCAGGAGTTACTCCTGGTTCATGCACTCAGGAATTACTCCTGGCAGTGCTTGGGGGACCATATGGGATGCCGGGGATCGAACCCGGGTCTGCCGCGTACAAGGCAAACGCCCTACCTGCTGTACTATCACTCTGGTCCCGTGGAGCTGTTCCTTTTTAAGGTCTTAAAGCTCCCACTGATCATGGGTTTATGCTGTTAGGTGTGAAAACAAAGAGACAAGCTGAAAGACAACAGGAGATGTCTGAAACCAGTAGCTTTGCTTTTGGTCTTTGGGTTACAGCAGCTGTTGTCAGGGGGACTAGTGTTTCCCCAAGGCAAAGCGTGAGCTCCTGCAGTCTGTGGGGAGATTGCTCCTGGCAGTGCTTGGGTGGCCATGTGGTGTTAGGGATCAAACCTAGGAATGCCCTCTGCAAAGCCTGTCTTCTGGCCATTTCAACCTCTTCCTGGCCTGTCATATTTCTTTTTTTTTTTCATATTTCTTTTGATTACTTTATTTCTCTTTATCTCTCTTCTTACCTATCATACTTTATTTCTTTTTATCTCTTTTTTCTTACCTCATACATGGATTGATTTTTTTTTTCTTTTTGGGTCACACCTGGCGATGCACAGGGGTTACTCCTGGTTCTGCACTCAGGAATTACCCCTGGCGGTGCTCAGGGGACCATATGGGATGCTGGGAATTGATCCCGGGTGGCCGCGTGCAAGGCAAATGCCCTACCCGCTGTGCTATCACTCCAGCCCCAGTTATTTTTTTTTTTAATGTAGGAGTACTGCTATTTATTCAGCCACTGATTAGGCTGATTGAATTGGGCATGAACTCTATCTTTTTTTCTCATTTTTTATAATTTTATTTATTAAATCACTGTGAGAGCAGTTACAAAGCTTTTGGGTTTAAGTCTCGGTTATCCAATGAAAGACCCATACCTTCACCAGTGCCCATTCTCCACCACCAAAAACCCCAGTATACCCCCATCTCCCACCCTCCCCCTACCTGTGGGGCAGATAATTTCCACATTACTCTCTCTCTCTCTCTACTTCGATTACATTCAATATTTTGACACCAGACCCACCATTATTATTTGGGATTTTACCCCAACACTCACATCTGCCAAAAAGGCAACAGTGGACAATTTGTTTTCTATTACTGGTTATGAATAACATATGATGTTGCGTGGCTGCAGTAGTGGCCGCGCGGTTTTGAAATTCCAAAATTATAACAATTAAATCTGGAGGGATTTCTGCCAAAACCTGCTGGGTTCCAAGATTTGTTCCTGAGTCTCTTGGATCATGGCTGTTAAGCAGGTTGATCAGGAGCCAGAGAGGCTGTTCATGGGTGGTGACTCAGGGTCTCGTTGGGGTGGAGAGGAAGGGCCTGCTCCACCCCCATCCTGTGAGGCCCCACATGTCTCATCACTGCGGGCCCAAACCTGACTGTAATGGCCTGTGGAGGATGGCAGCCACTGAGCCGCCAAGGGGGAGCAGGTGGAGGGACAGCACCCCTTCCCCCCTGGGGTGGTCTGGTGACAGTAACCTACAGCAGGGACCGGATGCATTTCTGCCAAAAGCTGTTGGGGTCTGAGATTTGTTTCTGAGTCTCTGGGATAATGGCCATTAAGTGGCTTGATCAGGAGCCAGAGAGGCCATTTGTGGGCGGCGACTTGGGGTTTCATTGGGGTGGGGAGGAAAGGACCGGCTCCACCCCCATCCCGTGAGGCCCTGCATGTCTCGTCACTGTGGGCCCAAACCTGACTGTCCAGTGGCCTCTGGAGGATGGCAGCCACTAGGCTGCCAGGGGAAACAGGCCAGGGCATGAAACTTATTCCCACTTGGGGTGGCCCAGCGCCAGTAACCTACTGCAGGGACTGGACGCATTTCTGCCAAAAGCCATTAGGTTTCAAGATTTGTTTCTGAGTCTTTGGGATCATGGCCATTAAGCAGCTTGATCAGGAGCCAGAGAGGCCGTTCATTGGCGGTGACTCGGGGTCTCTCATTGGGGTGGGGAGGAAAGGGACGGCTCCACCCCCATCCCATGAGGCCTGGTATGTCTCGTCACTGTGGGCCCAAACCTGACTTTCCATGGCTTCTGTAAGGTGGAGGCCACTGAGCCGCCTACGGGGAGCAGGTGGAGGGACAGCACCCTTTCCCCCCTGGGCTGACCTGGCGACAGTAACCTACTGCGGGGTATGGATGCATTTCTGCCAAAAGCCGCTGGGTTTCAAGATTTGTTTCTGAGCCTCTGGGATCGTGGCTGTTAAGCAGTTTGATCAGGAATCAGAGAGGCCATGCCTCCAACTATATAGCTGAGCCGGAGGTGGTTTGTGGGTGTGTCTCCCACATACCTAACTTTTGTCTGTTTACTTTCTTGGTAAATTTGCCCCAAGTTTTTGGGGTCTGGCCGAAGACACAGCAGCAATTTGGGGGTATCTGGGAATCTGAAGGCGCCATCAGGCTTTTGATAAACTCGCCTCACAGGTACAGATTGACCTGCTGGCGGCACCATACCCACCATGGATTGCCCTTAACCATGTAAAAATGGAAATTTTGGGGGCCACAGTGATAATGCAGTGGGTATGGTGCTTGCCTTGTGCGTGGCTCACCAGGGTTTGATACCTGCCATCCCATCTGATCCCCCAACCACTGTCAGGAATAACCCTGAGCATTACCATTGTGGCCCAAAAATAAGAGCGAAAATGAAAAAAGTAAACTTTGGGCTAGAGAGGGTAGCTCAGTGAGCTGAGTTCAGCATGCTTTACAGGTAGGAGGCCCAGTTTTGATTGCTGGTGCTACATTGTCTCTTGAGCAGAGGTGGGAGTGACCCTGAGCATTGTACCTGTGTGCCCATTACCAGAAAAAATAGGAAAGGAAACTTTGGTGGTTTTTAAACCAGTGTTATCAATGAATAAGCAGATTGTTTAAAGAGAAGCCTATTATTAAAAGAGGGAAATACTGGAACACAGCATCATAGATCAGCTTATTTCACAAAGAAGAGGTATTTCAGTGGTAACTTACATGTTAATATTCTACCTTTCCATACTCTGAAATTATGGAAATTTGGTTTTGTGTTTGTTTGCTTTTGGTAATTTTTGGTTTTTGTTTTTGGGTCATGCCAGGCAGTGCTCAGGGCTTACTCCTGGCTTTGTGTTCAGCAATCACTTCTAGTGGGCTCCAGTGACCATAATGGGATGCTGGGAATTAAACTGGTCAGCCACGTGCAAGGCAAAGACCCTACCAGGTGTTACTGTCACCCTGGCCCTATGCTAGCATTTTGTATTTATCATTAACCCCTGGATCACTTATCTTCTAACTCTTTCACTATTAGTGTCCATGAGTGGAAGTCATTATTTTTATCACTGTTACTTGAGGAAGGGAGTAGAGGTATAGGAAGGAAAAGAGACTTAAGAGAATCATGGAACCAGACACAAAATAGTCATGATTAGAACTTAGAGTTCCTGACTCCTATGCTCAGATACAGATCGCTAGGCAACATTTGCCTCCCTGCAGGAAGAAAGGCCCCGAAAACAATCTGTTCAGCTTCACTGTGCTAAATAGCATCCAAAGCATTCACAGCTTTCTGAAGAAGAGAGAAATTACATGTAGCCTGACCTTTCAGATGCCTACTGGGAAAAATGGAAAACCCAGGTTGTCACAGCTCTCTGGATCCAGCTGACTTTCTTATCAGTGCAGATGCCTGTGACTTGATGGTTAAGTACACCTTGACACTGGGATTCAAGAGCCTTTCTTTGGAAACTTGTTCAATCGTAGGTGGTGTCATTATACTGTAGGACTGAAGTATTTTAAGAGAAAGAGATACACTTGAATCCTAGTGCTTTTGTTTTTTTTTGGGGGGGCCCATATCCAAGTAGTACCTTGGCTCTAGACTCAGCGATCACTTCTGAGGGTAGTTGGGAAACTATATGTGGTGCCAGGGATTAAACTCTGGTTGACTATGCACAAGGCAAGCATCTTAACCCTATTCCTATCTCTTCAACCCTATCTCATAGTTCTGTTTTTGTTTGTTTTTATTTTGGGCACTCAACAGTACTCAGGGCTTAATCCTGGCTCTACTCAGGGATCACTTATGGCTGGAATTGGGGCACCATATGGGATTGAACCCAGATTGACTTTGTACAAGGCATGTGTCCTCGCCACACTACACGTACTATTGCTCCAGCCCTCTGGTAGTTTTTTTGTAGATGTTAGAGCTTAGACAGTTTTGCAGCCCCTATTAACTTGGGGAAACTATCCTTTGAACTTTTATTGCTGCTTTTAGTTTAATTTGTTTTATACTTCTTATTTTGCTAAATTTTAGACTCACAGGAAGTCGCAAAAATAGTACAGAGTTCTTGTACCCTGTATACCCAGCTTCCTCCAGTGGTGACACCTTATATAACTCTACGATAATGCTGCTTTTAGTTCTAGAGAGGGTGTCCAGGTGAGAAAGAACATAGCAGTAAACAGAGTAGATGGAAAGAATAATTTGAGCAGCTGTTCTTGCTATTTTGTTTTTAAAATTGGTCTTTAATTTTTCCTTTCTCTTTCCCTAAATTTTCTGTGAGGAAGAATGTA